TGCATAGTTTGTTGTCTATAACAATTCCCAAGTCCTTCTCGTGTGTTGTTATCCCTAATTCGCTTCCATTAAGTGTATGCGTTGCTTGTGTTTTCTTTACACCGAAGTGCATAACTTTGCATTTTTCTACATTAAATTTCATCTGCCATTTGAGTGCCCAGTCCATCTAAATCCCTCTGCAGCAAAGTAATATCTTGCTCACATTGTATTGCTTTTTTCAACATCATTTATAAAAATGTTAAATAAAAGGGGTCCCAGAACAGAACCCAGAGGGACACCACTTGCCACCTCTGTCCAGCTTGAAAATTTACCATTAATGACAACTCTTTGTACTCTATTTTTAAGTCAATGTTCTACCTAAGAACAAGCATTTTCATCTAGACCAATTTCCTTAAATTTGAACACTAATCTATTGTGTGGAACTGTATCAAATGCCTTGGCATAATCCAAATAGATCACATCCACTGCAACACCCTAATCTATACTTCTACTTACTTCTTTGTAGAACGCAATCAAGTTAGTTTGACATGACCTGTGCTTCATAAAACCATGCTGATTTTTGCTGATAACCGTGTTCTTCTCAAGGAATTCTTGAATATTATCCCTTAATAACCTTTCAAATATTTTCCCAGCCACAGAAGTTAAGCTCACAGGTCTATAATTTCCAGGCAAGGATTTTAAACCCTTTTTTAATATAGGAACCACATCCGCCTTCCTCCAATCCTCCGGAACACTTCCTGAAAGAAAAGAATCTTGAAAGATTAAAAACAGAGGTTCACTTATTTCTAAACTTAGTTCCTTAAGTACACGTGGATGGATACCGTCAGGCCCTGGAGTTTTGTTTATATTAACTTTTTTAGTTGCTGCAGCACCTTGTCTTGAGTTAACCAATTACAATTACTCTTAGTTTTTAGTAGCAATCATTTGCACATCTATTGCCATGGGTTCTTCCTTAATATATACGGAGGAGAAATAGTTATTTAAAATTCCTGCCTTTTTCTGGTCTTCATTAACTAACACCCTCATTTCAGTTTTTAGTGTACCTACACTTAAATGTTTTGTTTTTTAGAATTTATGTACTTAAAGAATGCTTTGGGGCTGGTTTTGCTCTCTTTGGCTATCATTTTTTCATTTTGAAGTTTAGCAAGTGGTACCCAGGGGATATTTGGCCGTATTAACTTCAATGTTAGTGTTGTCCTTACAACCAGTCCTTACATCACAATAGTTAGGGCTATTCCACAGTCTCCTCTCGGCTATTTTGCATTTAGGCCGACTACTTTCCCATCACCCATATGGCGTACACATGACGCCATTACACTGTTCATTACGGCCTTTCATCTGCACTTAGGTATTAAGCCTGTATATTTCCCGACCCACACAGGATTCACACCCTGCCTTCCCACATTCTTTGTACCCATTTCTCTAGAGGACGGAAGTTTGCATTTAGCTTAGCTCGCTATATGTTATTACAAATACTTAAGTAAAAAAAACTTGACTCAACTGTTTTTGCTTCATCAGCACACCCTGTGTGATGTGTTTTATTCTTGTACTCTTGTTTACCTCATTTATGCTGACGATGATGTATGTCACACCTTGTAGGTGCAAGACATAAAGAATGTAAAAAAATAAATAATGCATAACTCTGCATTAGCCATGTCAATACATACCTGTGATGGGTGGCAGTGATAGGCTGGAAATGCTCACTTGACACTCTCATCCGATCACTGCCACTCATCGCTTCCCATGCTAATGTTGAAGTATTAGTCTGGGCAATGTAGATGTGTGCTGCTGAGAATCCTCATTCAATGTTAAGCTGATCAAAATTGGTTTAGCACTGAATAGTGAAACAGCACAAGGGTACTCCAGGCACCATAACCACTTGCATGAAATAAAGTTAAGTTGAGCATTTAGAAAATCTACAGCAATGATGATTACGGACAGATTACCAGTACCACCATGTTTTTGAACACATATCACTTTTTCAGGGTCTTGAGCAGTTAATTAAACTTATAGCCCTGTGTACCATAGCCATTACATGCCGTAGGTGCAATAAGTCTGCATTAGCAATAGGTGAGTTGTTTGTTTGTACAAAAAGAAGGGGTCTTGTGTGACTGACATAAAGGTATAGAGGGATTTACAGTAACTCATAAAAGGATAGGTAACAGAACTGGAAGCAGTGAGCAACTGTGTGACTGGTACAAAGAGAAGAGCAAAAGGGGTTTGTACAGATGGAATGGACATAGAAATGAAAATTAATGAATGAAAATAGGATGAATGATGCAGCTTCTTATTGTGAGACACTTGTCTGGAGTCACAGTGGAATGAGCCAGAGGTATTGAAATGGGCACAGTCCCCATTTTTATTTGCCAAGTAAAAAACAACTCTGGCTGTGTTAATGCCAGCTGATCTCCCTGCTAGCCATAAAGGTTCAGAACAAAACTCCTATAAAAGGACCCAATCTGAATACTCCGCTATAGAATGACCATATCCAACAGCTTGGACTGCACATAAGGGTGTGGTCCTGGTTACTCCTGAATGTTGTAGGCATTCCATGTGACCTGGCTAGTTGAGGTCCTAATGGGCCTGTCTAACCCTGTTGAATGGAGAAGGACCAGTAGGGCATGATTACCTAACCAGTGACAAGTGCAAATTTGCATGCTTTAGGTTTCCAGAATGGTTAACTTTGAGATTTAGCAGATGATCTTAGAGATTTACATAAAGATTACAGACAATCTTTCTATTTCTGTGCTCATTTGTCTCTGTTGCAGTGGGAATGCCAGTTGGCCCCTTGTTACAATATTTGTCTTCCAACAGAACATTGACAGAACCCTGAGAACATGGCTTACTCTGCCTATTATGCTGTGTAAGCCACAGAAGAGAAGTGTTTTATTCTAATACAGTGGTCTCCTATATGTTGGATCATTGCCCTAAGAGTCATTATTAATGAACTTTCACTGATAATTCTAAATACTTACAGACAACTCTTAACATAACGTCACTGGAGCAAGATTAATCCCTATGGCCACATGAAGCAATAAGTAGCAAAAACTCAACATGTTAAAATGTCAAAATCTATATTGACAACAATATATGTGTTCTGAACAAGCAACACATACCTACATTTGTATAATATAAAAAGCTCCAAAAGACAGCTCGAATATTAGATTCAATCCGCATGGATTCTATCCGCATTCCGAATAAACATACAGTATAGCTCCTTTTTATTTTTACAAATCAATAAAACCATTCATTTATGAAGGTTATCCTAATACTTTGAAATAACTTTCCAGTAAAGTTATGATTGTGCGTCATTAACAAATGTCTAGACTCTGAATCCATGTCTTCTTTCTTTTTAATGTTCCTGCAGTGTTTGCATAAAGTTTTGCAATGCCCAATTTGCTTGCATTTCCAGGAGAAGCTGTAAGGACAACCCAAAATATATGGTACATCATAAGTCCACTAAATATAATATAAATGAGATTTTAATGAGAATTATCAAAAATCACATTAATCATTCTATTCAGTCAGTGTCCCACGTTTCACAAATCTTCAAAGCTTTTCAGTTGGTATACAGACAGGAATGGAAACAGACAGAATAAAAAAAAGAAAAAGGTAAATTTATTGTCATGTAAACAACATTTCAGCTCACTAGAGAGCCTTCGTCAAGCCTCTTTTTCAGTTGGGGCATTTATATGGGAAAGCAGTTGAAAATGCACTTAGAAAGGAGAGTTGAACACAAATACACGTGAAAAAATAGATTACCGCATTCTGTCATTTATCTGCTCTTAGATAAGACATTGGACATAAAATACAAAAATCAAGCAATACTTCCAAGATCCAAAGCAGCTTATTAAACAATGTTGTATATAA